CTCTCGACGGCACCGTCCACCCAGGCTTTCCCGTCCGGGCCTTGGCCACTCACGGGGTTCCCACTGCTGGCCGAGTAGGGAACGCAACCGCGGAGTCGGTGGGCCACACCTCCTGCCATTTGTCATTTCCGTCTCTCCAGTTTGAATCCTCTCCAGGCCCTCAGCCAGCCAAGCAGGCCCAGGGAGAGGGAGCCCAGCCCTCCATGCCTGCCCAGGCCCACCCCATGCCGCGTCCGGGCGTTCCCCACGCATTCGGAGCCTGGCTCAGCCGCGCCACAGGCCGCAGCTGAGGATCGTGGGGTTTGGGAGTTGCAGGTGAGCGAGGCAAGCGTGATGGGAAACACCGAAGCCTGCAGTCCTACTCCCTAGAGAGAAGCGAGCTGAACGCTAGGGTCTAGCAGCAGAGTCATGGTTTTTAATGGCTATAGATTAAAAAAAAATAGAAAACTGTTCAGCTTCCAAAACTCTTGATGCGGCTCCTCCTAGATTTCTGAAACCAATCTGATGCTCTCCCGGAGAAGGCATCGGATCTTTCTGATGTCAACTCTATGACTGAGGAGCCCAGAATGACGGAGAGAGAGTGAGGCCCAGAAGACAGTCGCTTCCAAACGACTGGCCATGTCGGTGTCTCTCCTATGGTGGCCTCTGTCCTCTTTCTGGCCCACTGCAGCCTTGGAGTCTGAGGGCCACAGAAGTGGCCGCCCCCTTCCACAGCTCCCTCTGTGCAGAATTCCCTCCAGAATTCAGGGCAGGGGGGAGGAAACCCAATCTGTTTCTGACCCACAGCCCTCGACTCTCTCCCAGCGATCCCTGTCTGTCTCACCTCTGCCGCTTTCTCCAGCCCTCACTGCCCTCAGGGAGACTGAGGGAAACCCTCTGACCCTCTGCACTACCGTGAGGGAGCTGCAGACCCCAGAGCAGAGCAGGCCGTGCTCGCCCTGGGCGCATGCGGGCGTGCTCCAGACAGCCCTGATTCCATGTTGCTCTCGCCTTTTAATGTTCATCCGGCTGTCATCTAAAATCGGACATATCTCAAGCTGAATCTGTCACAGCTTCTAGGCCGTGGGAACAGGCTTGGGGATCAGCACAGGGGACATCTCCCAAAATGAGCCCCATGAGATGCTCTCCAGAGAAAAGCCTCCCTGGCCTGGTGAACTGGGAGGCCCTGTGCCCACCTCCCCTCCCCACACCTGAGCCCAGTCAAGGGCCTGCAGCGTCCCACGGCATGGAAACTCTGCGAAAGTCACATCGCAGCTCCTGTAGGGTGACTCCTTTGCCAGACCATGTCTTCTGTGTGAAGACGCTCTTAATGTCAAATCGAACTGCCCAGGAACATCGTTGAACTGTCTTGATGATAGCAGATGCAAACATGTGATATGTGATGACAGTTCACAAAAAAAAAAACGCGAGCCGTAAAAGGTCAAAGAAGCAATAGCTTGGCAAAAAAGGGTATTGTACTAATTCATATAATCTAAAAGGTTAAATGTGTATTTGGCGTATTTGAGATATATTATTTACTTTTTTTTTTTTTGGTTGGGGGACTGGTTCACATCAAAAGAATTTTAAGGCTTCAAGACTGGACTGAATATTGAACTGCCCTACATAAAGTTACAAAAATCCATGCTTAAAGAAGCTTTTTCTTAAGTGCAAGCAAAGCCGTTGCATCTCAAAATTGCTCAAAGTCCCAGACCAAGGCTGATGGCCTCTGATACTATTTTTGAAGTTTGACAAACTGTATTCACCTAGAGAGGATTAAAATGGCGGACCTGCATAGGATGAAAATCATTTGAGCCGATATGAGAATTGTAAGCTAGTAAATGTCTCCATTAAATCAAATATCCAGATGAAAAGACAGCAGTTGAAGCACTTCACCTTCCAAGTGTTCATCATGAAACTGAACAATTAACTATTTCCCCCTTGCAATTCACCTCAATATGCTGGTGTCACATACCTGTAGCTAACAAACTCAAAGGGGCCGGTAGTCCACAGGTATCATTTTTAGTTTGAATGCAGAGAAATGCGTGTTGATGTTCTTATGATGGCAAGTTATGTGGGGGGACCCCCAAAACCCCAGAACTTATTTATTAAAAATTGTCTATTCTTACATGTTTAAGCTTCAGTCACCTTCAGAGGACTCTCTGTTTGAGAGGCAGCGCACCTATCAAGATGCTTTTTCCACTGCTCAAAACGGTCGTTGGCCTTGTCGGCTTGGATGCCTTTTAGTGCTTCTGCTGTTTTTTGTTTCGCCTCTTCCACGCCAGCAAAACGTTGACCTCTGAGGACTTTTCTCCGTCCGGGGAAACAAAAAACAAGCCACGCGGGGTGAGATGGGGTGAAGAGGGAGGGTGGGGCACGGAGGGCGTGCCGTTTGGGGTCCGAAACTGCTGAACACTCAGCGCAGTGTGGGCAGGTGTGTTGTCATGGTGGAAGAACCAGTCACCTGTTGGCCACCACTTCTGCAAATTGTGACACACCCTTCTCACAACTTCCAGATAAAATCTCTGTTGACCACTTGATCTGGAGGAACAAATTCCAAGTACTACAAGGGACCCACTTTCCAAGAGATCATTCCAGTTGTTTTGGGGCCCCCCCGTATGTTCAGTTAAAAGCAATTTCATTGAAAGAAATGCGGCAATACTTAGGAAGAGGCTGGAATTCACTCCGAAAAGCATCAGAATATCAACGCCAGTGTTCAACACAAACAGTGTAACAAGGCAGCAAGGTCTGTGGAGTGGATGTTTTCTTCCTACTGTTTCTATTTTCATTTTCATTTATTGCTTCCCCTTTTCCGATTCTTTCACAATGCAGCAGGAAAACTCTGGATGACTGATACACATCTGACAAACTTATCAAGTCTTTTAGCAGAAAATGGATCAGGCTGTCCCCTGATGCCAGTAGGGGAGGAGGAGGAGGTGGTGCCAGGAAGGAGCTGACACCGACCCCCTGGGCCTAAGAGGCTCGTGACATGTGTACTTCACTTCACTCCTGCTGAAAACATGCGAGTTGGAAATCCTTGTCTCTATGTTACAGAGAAGGAAATCGGCACTTAGAAGAGCCTCAGATCAGGGCAGCAGGAGGTAGCCGGGTTGGGGGTGAGCTCTTGTCTGCCCATTCTTTCTACGGCACCAACTCCCGTAGAGAAAGGTGTTTTACGCTAACCAAAGTCTATGTGGACAGGATGAAATTAGACTGTTTACAGAAACAGTTGGATTTCACGAGAACGGCAAGTTACGTTTAACCAGAAACCTACCACTGCACAGCCGTGCAGACCCTAATGAAACGGCTTTAACCAGCACCGGAGGGCTCAGCCGTGCAGCCTGGCTCTCACCACCTTCACACGGTTCTTCTCGTGCCCCCGAGCAGTCTTCCCGTCTTCCGTCTTCAAGCGCCAAACACCACGCAGAATGACATACGTGCTCTGGGCATGAGCCTGACTCACAGACCTCAGGATGGTGTAGACCTTGGACTATGCTTGGCCTTGACCCAGGGGTGTTTGTCAGAGCTGGAAAAGAGTGCTTCGAGCAGTCCTCTATCCGTGACACAGAACCAGAATATATTATCTATGATATATACCTCTCCAGAATATATTACCTGTGATTTCTAATTCTTTCAATATGTATGTTTCAAACCCAGTGAGCCAAGTAGAACAGTCAGACTCAAATGGCGTTTTCAAATTCTTCTGATTATAAATTATTATTATTATTATTATTATTTTGAGTTGGAGTCTCACTCTGTCACTCAGACTGAGTGCAGTGGCCGCTCCTGGCCACCACAGCCTCGACCTGCTGGGCTCCGAGATCCTTCTGCCTCAGCCTTCCAAGTAGCTGGAACTACAGGCGCGCGCTACCACGCCTGGCTGATTTTTGATTTACTGTAGAGATGAGGTCTCGTCAAGTTGCCCAGGTGGGTCTTGAACCTGCAGGTTCAGGCAATCTACCTACCTCAGCCTCCCAAAGTGCTGGGATTACAGGCTGAGCCACCGAGCCCGGCCATAAGTTATTAATGTACTACATTAGAGATATCCTCAAGTGATTTGCACCACCTTGAGGGTATATCTATCTCAAAGGGACATTTGTTGTTTCCTTAAATGGCTTTCATTTTTCAAGTATGTAATACACAAGCTAGTTTTAGGTTGGGTGTATGGCTATGAGTGGCATAATACCAAAAGGACGTCATTAGAGGACTAACTTCTGAATGGGCCTATGGGCCGAACCTTGGGGTTCCCGATTATGACTTGTGGGTGTCTAACCTGATGACTATTCAGTACAGAAAAGTGCAAATACGGTATGCAGCAAACACACTTATTATGCTCCAGCACTTAGAAGTGGCTACCAGAGAAACTGACAGACGTAGTTGAAGAAACAAGGAGGCTGGAAGACCTTTACTATACTTTGGTGCCAGAGAAAGAAAGGAATTTCTCGAATCTGGAAAGTGAAGCTCAGAGCTGAATAATGACACTTGAGATACTAGGCAAGGGTAGAGTTCTAAGTCGAATGGAAGAGTGAAAACATGGAAAGATCTCAGAAAAGCCGAGTCTGCCAAAATGCCGTAAACCTGGTGTTATGAGTTAAGTGTGACCCCCTCAAAATTCTTATGTCGCAGCCCTCTCACCCAGCACCTCAGAATGTGACCGTGTCCACAGATAGTACCTTTAAAGCTGCGATCTAAGTTTTTAGACCTGACTGATATTGAGGACATGTGGACACAGACATCCAAGCACAGGGGAGAAGGCATGCCAGGCACAGCAAGAAGCGGCCACCTGCGGGCCAGGGAGAGAGGCCTCAGGAAGAACCAGACTCGCCAACACCTTGGTCTAGGACTTCCTCCAGAACTGTGAGAAATAAATTTCGGTGGTTTCAGCCACCCAGTCTGTGGTCTTTTGTTATGGCAGCCTGGCAAACACATATACGTGGTCTATCTTAATACTCGGTAAGCGAGTATTAAGTATGTTGATTACAAGTTGGGCTCTCAATACCATCCAGGCACACTTGGGGAAATACTCAGTCTTTTAAAAGTGGGTGGTACTCACCACATCGAAGGCAGTAAACACATGACAGTAGTGGTGATTGGACTTTAAGTCTTTTGTGATATACGCAAACGTCGAGAGGTCTTCTGGGTCTTGGGCAGCACAGGAAATATTACGAATTTCATGCTCGGCAATTATGTTCTGGAAGAGATGACATACGTGAGCATTGCTTTCCTTTGCAAACCAGCATACTTTAGAAGCGAGGTAAGTAACCAGGGAGGCATTGCTTTCCTTCTTTCTAGAGTGTTCCAGACCAGGAACGTTTAAAGCGATCCGCCGCATTATTCATGGGCAAATGTATTTTCAAGCAGTTAAAAACCTAAAACAGCCCCACCCTGGAGCAGCGGTCCTCGCTTGATGCTGCACACAAAAGCAGCCTGGGCAGAGACACTTGAGAAGAAGGCGTTGCTGAGCACTTAGGGCTCCCACTCGCCACCCCACGTGCAGATCTGCAGCACTGCCTCCCGCCACCTGCCTGGAGAGGATCACGTTTCTTCCTCCCCGTGGAAGGAGACGGACCCGCGAGGGAATCCGAACCTGCCGTGCCTGCCTGCGGTTCTTACAGCCGGCCTCCTTCCGCCCCACAGCGGGGGCAGGCACAGAAGGCTGCCGGCAGGCAGGCCGGGCGAAGGGCTTCCAGAGCGGGCTGAGGCGTCGTGCCTGGCCAGGGGAGTGCCACACTGCGGTGTCCAGGCCTCGGGTGCCTTCCTCGACCCAGGGCCCTGTGGCCCGAGCGGCACCCGCCCAAGCATACCCACGGTGGGTATTTTTGAGGAGGTGCTGTTGTCGTCATTAACTTATGGGTGGAGAAACGGGTGCAGAGTCCAAGGGTGGCGGATCCCGACTGAACGTGGATCGCCTGGCTCTGGGCTCAGGCTCTCTGAGATGCACGGAGGGCCCGGCCTGCTGCCACCTCTCTTCCTGCTGTGACACCAGGGCCTTGCTTCCTCCCAGCACCTGTGTCTCCCCCTCCCCCGCCCCCGGAGAGGTGTAAGGACTCTGAAGCACAAGACACCCTGGGCCTCTTGGTGGCACACTCTGCTAGGAGCTTCTTTTGACATGTAGATGTGCTCAAAAAGCAAAAAAAGGGCCGGGTTTGGTGGCTTAATCTGTAATCCCAGCACTTTGGGAGGCCGAGGCGAGTGGACTGCCTGAGCCCATGGGTTTGAGACCCACCTGGGCAACTGGATGAGACCTCGTCTCTACAATTAAAAAATAAAAATGAATAGCCAGGCGTGGTAGCGCGTGCCTGTAGTTCCGGCTACTCGGAAGGCTGAGGCGGAAGAATGGCCGGAGCCCAGCAGGTTGAGGCTGCGGGGGCCGGGAGCGGCCACTGCACTCCAGTCTGGGCGACGGAGTGAGACTCAAAAAATAAATAAAAAACATTCATGGAAGCATGCACTTATTTTTTATCTGATCATCCCTCACTCATGTCTTTTGTGACTGCCACAGATCGAAAACCCCAGTGCTTTGGTTTCCCCTAGTACTTTCTAATTGTGCCGCCTGAAACCACATGCCGGCCACACAGCGTTCCGGGCACACCCACCCGCGCCTGAGAGGCTCGTAGCGCGCTCCTCCCTGCCGGCACCCGGGGGCACCTCTGTCTGCGGCCGCCAAGCCCAGGGTTGGGAAGCAGTTCTGTAATCCGTGAACGGAAATTGCATGAAGACATTCATCGCCAGGGCCAGGTCCTAGCATTACACACGGAGCGCTGTGAAAAATGACTCCAGGTGCAACAGGTAGTATTTTATTTCAAGGCTCAGTTTCAAAGCAGAGGGTCCCGATCCCCCTCGGGCATTCAGGCCGCACTGCTTCACGCAGAAACCCGCCAGGAGCACATGAGCCTCAACAGGACGCTTACAGTGCGTGGGAGCAGGCAGGGACTGGGGCTGCCGCAGCCCCAAGGCGTGTGCCCGGGAAGCACGGCCACAGAGGACAGCAGGGCTCCAGCTGCGGAGAAGGTGGCCTTCCGTGTTCTTGCGACCCTTGGCCAGCATACGGCAGGCCTGCTGCCTGGGAAAGCGTCACGCTGAAAAGTGTGGTGTGCTGAATTCCCCGCCTGTCTCGACGCGTCTGTGGCGTGTGGCAGCGGTGCGGCCCCGGGCACCACTGCAAAGCGGGCAGCTGCCCCTCCTCGGGCTTTCCCGACCCTCCTCGGGATTTTAGGGAGCACCGCCTCCTCTGCTTCCCAGGAGCCAAGAGCTGTCTCTCAGTTGCACGCGGAGGCCTCCAAAATCAGCCTCCTCCCCGCTGGGGTCACATTCACTCCTCGTCCTCAAGGTCTGAGCCAGGAGGACAAGTTTAGTGGAAACAGGCTGTATCCAGGTGGGCACAACTGACGCGTGAGATCGTCCTGACTCGCGCTGTAGATTTCTTGAGCTCGTGCTGGTAGCCCGTGTGGCGCTCTGGGACAGACCACCGGGGCCAGGACGCCGGAAGGACTGAGCTCACTGCTGAGTGCTGCCTCACTCTGTGCCGTCTGCCTCTGCCGGATGTGAAGCCAGTCTCTAGGCTGGGCCGTAGATCCGAGGTCAGGCAGCCTGCAGTGGAGACCGGCTGGCTTCCTGCGTGGGGACAAAGTCGGGGAGCAACACCTTCCTGCCACCTCCTGTCACACACGGACTAGTGGCTCCTCCATCAAGTAAACTGTGAGGTAACTGGGAGCTACAGTTTCAAACGGGACTCCCGCTTGTGGACTGGCCTCCATTTCCAAGCGCGTGCTAAGGGCCAGAGCTTAAAAAAAGCCCCAGAGAAGAACTTTTTAAAAATGGAGTCAGGGTCTCGCCCTGAAGCCCAGGCTGGAGCACAGAGGTGCCATCATAGCTCACTGCAGCCTCTATCTCCTGGGCTCAAGCAATCCTCGCACCTCAGCCTCCAAAGCCCTGGGATGACAGGCACATGCTACCACACCCGGCACCTGCTGCTTCTTGGGGATAGGAAGCTGGATCGCTTAGTGCCCTTCCAGAGAGAGAAGTTCTTTTGCCGCTCTGTTGTCTTTCTCTATGATGAGAAGCCGCTGAGAGGTGTCTGGCTGGTGGGTACTGCCCAGAATTGTTGGTCCAGCCGGTGACGGCGGTGGTTCTGCAGGCCGCATGAGAATGACAGGTGCAGCCTGGAAACGCACCCCTCCACTTCTTGTGTTCTGAGCTCCGTGGCGGGCAGGCGCTACTCCTGCCACGACGCCCCCTCGGGCAGGCTTTCCCTGGGCAAGGAGCTGACGGCATCCCCTCCGGGAGACCCAGCAAAGCCGAGGGCCGACCGGAAAGTGGGGGCGTGGGACTGGCACAGAGGAGGCAGACGCAGTCTCAAACTGCCTTACCCGGACAAAAATGGAAATAAAAACCCCAATTCAAAATACCAACAGAAGCAAAAGGCAAACCCCAGCGCCGTGTTGTTCTTAACTTGGCCAGATGGGCAGGGGGCTGGCCCAGGAAGGCAAAATACAGCCCCCGATCCTCCGCCCAGCACAGGGTGCGCGAACGGCATCCCCTCTGGAAGACCCTGCTGCCCTGAAGAGGAGTCTGTGCTGAGGCAGCTGCGGCCTCCGGGCTGGAGTCCCTGCCAGGGCTGCCTCTGGGCTACAGACCTGTGGAGAGTGGGTGTGGGCCGAGACATTTCAGATCCATCGCAAGCTCCAAGTACGCTGCTTCCTGCTTCCTCCTTCCGAAATCAGGCCGAGGGGCTCCCTCATCTCCTGAGTTGCTGGGCGGTGCCTTTGCGAGTTTACAGTAGCCAGGCCCCTAGCCCGCCCCCACGACCTCTGCCAGAGCCACTGCCATACTAGAATCAGAGGATAGAGACCTTCGTTGAGGGGTCATCTTTCACAGGGTCCAGTGGGGGCTCAGAGGATGGGAAGAGCCACTAACACAACGTAATTATCACTGAGCTCCAAACTAATTGGTAGGAGGTGGCTGTGGGGTGGCAGAAAGAGCACGGGGTTGGGGAGGGCGAAAATCCGGCTTCCATCCTTCTTCATGATTCCGGCCAAGGATGGGGACTCCAGGCCCCCGCCGCCTGCAGACTGGACGCCCCTCGACCGACACACGGGGAAAGCGCACCGCAGACACCAGAGCGGGATGGGAGCCTCTGGCAGCCTCACTGCAAGTATGGTGGCCACAGCACCCGGAATGGAATCTTCAGAAACGCTCAGGCACAGAGTAGTCCCTTGCTTCCCACCAGTGGTCCTCCAGGACACCACGGCCCGGCTGGGGCTCCCGCTGAACCCACCTGCTCCCTTCCTGCTATGGCCTTGGCTCCACAGCAAAGTGCCACACAAAGGTGCCACACACTGGTGTCTGGGCACGACTCGCTCACACCACCACACGAGGGTGGCCCTTGACTGCGGGTCCTGCCTGTACCGTCCTCCCGCCCTGGCTAGTGCTGTGCTCCTCGGCCTTCTGCAGCGGACGCCGCCAGTGTCGCCGTCACACCCCTGCTCTGCCCTGCCAAGTGCAACCCGTCTGCTTGGCTTTCCACACACCCTCTCCCGACCCACTGTCACGCTGGGATCAGCGACCCTGCGGGATGCCCGGCTAAAGTTCATGTCCCCACTTCCCGACATGGCCGGGCGTCTGCTGTCACACCGTCACGGAGGTGGGCTCACTGGCTGCCACAAAGGCATTGTGCCTTTGCTCGTGGGGACACACTCAAGGACACGAACAGCACGCTGGCCTTCCGACATAGCGCTTCCATTTGCACAGAACCATCCTCTGCAGATCTCTCTGGCTTCAAAGAGTTGCCCACAGTGAGCTGAAGTCTACGGTCAGCCCCTCTACCTGGCGACGGAGGCGGAAGGTCTCCTGGGGGGAGCATGTCCTGGGGTGTCACCCACTAAGGCAAGGAGCCTGACGGCATGGGCCCCACGTCCCGATGGCGCGGCGCGGGTGGGAGGGGAGGCCGTGAGGACAGAGAAGCACCTGGCATGCCCGACATCATGGCACGACAGACGTGTCTGGAACTTGTCAGAACCCAAGTCTGCCAAGGTGGTTCATCTCCGAGAGTGTCCAGACTCACCTGGGGAAAGTTCACAGCTTCCAAGCACACATGGGAGGGGGCAGTGAGATGCCTGAAGGTTTGGGGACTTTCATACCAACGGACAGGTTCTGGGACCTAAAGTGGCTTCCACGAATACAAAAGCACATCGGCTGGGAACGCTCTGGCCTGAGGCATCGCAGATCATCTGCCCTGGCAACAGCCCCAGCTGCGACCACCGCTCCACCCTGCGCCCCCACGGGAGCATGTGCTGGGGTGGCGAGGCGGGCCACACACGTTCAGCCTGTGTTTCAGAACCTTTTCTCAAGCCGGGAGCTTGTTTCCCCAAGCAGGTCTGCTGAGCCCGGGCTTATCTGACGACCGAGCCACAACCTCCTTCGTTTCAGAAAACCAATCAGGAACGCTAGGTGGTTGATTCAGATGCTCGGGTTTATTATAGACACCAAAGGTGGCCATGAGAGGGTTTGCCCAGGATCTAAAATGCAGGGGTCTCGGCCCTGCATCAATATTGCTTACGTTCACCTGTTTGACGACTTTCTGTTCCCTTTCTCTGAAATGGAGGGGGCCCGGGTGAAAGGTCTGGGCCTCTCACCAAAAAAATCTTTCTGTGCTTATCGGTTGAGAGGGTGCAGGAGTAAAGCACGTGGACATCTGGGGGCAGCGAGGACGGAGAGGGACGGAAGGCACACCCGAGCTTTCCAGCTCAGCCCCGGGGCGCTTGTCCTCACAGGAGAGGAACTCTAGGACACTCAGTACATGCGATGCAAGCCCACAGTCCACACCTGCCACCACAGTCCACACACGGTTCCCAGGGTGAGGACAAAGCCAGAGTCACAGCATGGCCTGCGCTTCCCTTCTGGTTGTGTGTCTCCAGAAACAACACGGGCAAACGCTTCCACCTCGGTTGGGAACTCAATGCAGTTATAGGATGAAGAAAGCCAGAGAATGCGACCCTTGGGCCAGGGACCACTGTGAGCATCGACAGAAAGGACGCACATACTTCACTGGGGATACGGAAAGTCTGGGACTCCCTTCATCTCGTAACATTTCCTCGGGTACAGGAGTGAGGACCTCGTTGACTTTTCAATCTACAGGTGGTGTTTTTTTTCCCTGTTGCAATGTTTTCTAGATCCAGAGGGACATGCCAGATAATGGGTGGCCACAGGCTCGCAGATCAGGCATCCCAGATCAAGCCCTCCCAAAGGGCGCCTGTGTGTGTGTGTGTGTGTGTGTGTGTGTGTGTGTGCGCGCGCGCATGTGTATCTACAGGGTGTGTATAGCTAGCATGGTGGTGGGAAAAGAGTGCTCAGTGGGGCTGTTGGTCTTGAAGGGAGCACAGGAGGGGAGACCATATGCCCAGGGCTGCACCTGTTTGTCGACACCAAAGAGGCGTGGTACCCACCTTATTTGTGGCATCGATAAATTTGACTCCTTTATATGAGACAGAAAGAATAATAGTAGGGACCTTCTTCATCTGCTCTGTAGACTTCTGGAATTAAAATTAGAAAGCCGTGAGTGTAGCTCATTCGCGTGGCAACTGCAGCACAGCATTCTTCCTCTTGAAGATACAAATGCGTTCAAGTGAAACGCAGCGCACACGCATCCCATACGTACCACACACACGCTGATCTAAATGTCGGTCTCGCTTCTCTTGGGCTGAGCTACGTTTGGGCTTCAGTTAGCTGTCTTGCCCTTGAAGAGCGGAAATGCCGGCCCCCGCCCCACGCGGGTGAAGGAGCCTCCCCTTTGCCGACGCCCACGGGGCGGCGGGGAGGGCGAAGAACTCTGTCTCCTGCTGCAATTTCTGGCGACCGTCCCTTTCATGAGCTTTAAGCCAGGCTTGACTCCAGGGGTCACTCGGCATTAACAAGATGTATGCCCTCCCTCCCTCGTCACCCTTCAAGGCTCAGAGGTGCAGTCCTCGAAGTGCACATGCCTGGATTCCCTTGAACACACCACTGTGAATTGTCCTTGAACCTGGTCAAGACCGCAAGCGGATGGTAGCGGTGCTTGCAGCAGAACCACTCGCGACCGCACTGGGTGTGGCCCTGATCCGGAGCATGCTGGTGGTCCGGGGACCTGACTGTCACTCAGAGCTGCTCGTCCCGCAGGCGAGTCTCCCGGCAGACGCGCGCGCTGGCCTCCTGTGCCGAGGCTGCAGCTGGCGCCGTCTCACACAGCCGCAAGGAGCTTCCCCCGCCCTCGGCAGGTGCCTCTCTCCTAGTTGCCAGTCACTCGTTGCCCTCCAGGGACGCGCCTGACAGCAAGGGGAACCTACCTGACAGTTCGCCTGATGGGTTTTCCAGGTCAGTCAGGTGGGGCACCATAGGAGAGAAAACACACAGGAGGTGAGAGAGACACAAGCACTCGGGATTCAGCAACAGCAGAAATTCTCAAAACGTGGAGGGTGACGCAGAGGGAGAACAGGCCACAGATGTGCAGATGCAGTCACCGTGGGGACTGCTGCGGGACTCTACAGCCTGTCTCTCCTTTGTGTCCGCTGCTTTCCCACCTTTGTTTGTTGCACTGTGCAGTCTTAGGGCTGACAGGCAAGCACCTTCCACAAGACAACCAGCTGTCTAAACAATCAGAAAAAAATAGGAGCTTTATTTTTTTTTGAGTTGGGGGTCTCACTCCGTGGCCCAGGCTGAAGTGCAGTGACCCGATCACAGCCATGGCAGCCTCAAACTGCTGGGCCCAGGTGATCCTTCTACATCAGCCTCCCAAGTAGTTGAGACTGCAGGCTAATTTTTTTTATTTTCTGTAGAGATGAGGTCTCTCTGTGTTGCCCAGGCTAGTCTCAAACTCCTGAGCTCAAGCAATCCTCCTGCCTCGGACTCCCAAAGCGCTGGGATTACGGGCATGAGTCACCACACCCAGTCTAAAAAATATTAATTTCCTTGCTGTCTTCATTTCTATTACCCATTTTTTTCATGTTTAAATTCTGAAATGTGACCAGAATTAAAGCAGACTTCTAACTGGGCAGTGTGAGCTCAGTGACGAGGCTGAGAGGGCATCTCCCAGCATGTTGGAGGGTGTGTATGCTGTCCTGACAGTTGGACACAACAGCTCTTGGGAATCACTACATCTGTTTCAAAGAAAACTACCGTGGATTATGAAGCGTGTCACTACTTAATATTTATTGTGCACATAGTGTATCAGAAGCAGCTCTCTTGAAGTGCTTTTTGATGAGTTTTAAAGTTCCCCAGACGCTCTTTTGTGATTACCAAAAGCAGAAGGCATGGAAACGGAATGTAGGGTCAGAAACTTTCATCTTTTCATGCTTTTTCTAACCACCTTTGGAAAGCGTGCATGGCAAGTGACAGGCAGGCCCGGAAGCAACAGCACGCTACACGCTGACCGTGGGCCACACAGGTGGGTTCTGTGGGGGCGGCCGGGCCTGGGCGGCTGGGTGTGTGTGGGAAGAGCCCTGGGTAAGCGTCACGGTGAATGCCAGCGAACCACCTTGCGTATCTCTTGCCACGCATACATTCTCGGGACAGAGCCATCTGTGACGTGAGACGACGGACAGCGACACCAACGTTTGTTCAGTATCAGGAAGACTCCATCTGCCGTGTGTGTGCTCAGCAGCCGAGCGGTTTCTAGCCAGCTCGCCGTGCTTGTCACTGGAACCGTGAGGTGTCTAGGTCAGGGGACATCGCACAGACCTACACCGAGCGCACATGCCGCCTGCCGAGGGTGGCAGTCCAGTGTGGTGCTGGGGAAACTTCCGAGCCATGTCATAGCTCCGTGAGAGGGGCTGGGACGTCCATCGAGAGAGGGCGAGGAGGAGGCGCCCGCAGACCACATGTGGCTGTGCCCGTCGGGTCTATGTGAAGAAGAGCTACGACACAGGTTGGCAAAGGTTTTCATGCATTCACTCAACAAACACTGCCTGCTGGGGGGACCGAGCAAGCTGGCTCTTGAGGGCGAAGAAGAATTTCCTGGGTGGCAAGGAGGACGCCACACACAGGCCCAGAAACAGAGACAGTGGGCTTGGGTCACGGTGGGCATCGAGGGTGGTGTGGAAAGTTGTGACCTCCCGGTGGGTGTGACGGCCCTGGGCCAGCTGCAAGGAGGCGGGCGGCTGCTGTGCGAGTCCAGAGAGGAAGCCCCGAGCGCCCGGCGGGCTGCAGGTGCCAGAGAACAGGAGCAGCCGCACCCAATGAGGGAGAACCCGAGGCTCTGTTGATGGCGGCTGTGGTGGCGACGGTGGGGGACGGCGCCACCGGCCACCTCCGCAAGGCTGGAGGGACGTGAGCCCCGAGCACGAAGGAGGCGCTCTTGCACCTGCCGGCTGCGTGGGCAGGCGCTGGCCAGTGGGAAGCGGGACATGAGACAGATCCGCAAGCCCCCCGCCGGGGACGGCTGAGGGGACACGCAGAGGACCGAGGGGCTCACCTCGGGGCAGGGAGGCTTCGGAGTGGGGCGCGGGCAAGTGCCCGCGAGCAAGCCTCAGTGCAGCGGGATGCCGCTGCAGTGCAGATCGCGAGGCCAGGGAGACGGCTCGGAGGCGGCAGTGCCTGGCACTGGAGGTGGCAAGCCCGGAACAGCACGGCACCCGGTGGACACCCAGAGCCTCCACTGGGCTTACTGGGTGAAACTCTGGCTCTGGCAGCGAGGGAGCCTGTGGCTGACCTTGTGAAGGGCAGTTGCAGGAGGATGCTGGCGGCCGTCGGAGGAGAACGCGGGGAGCTGCGAGTGCAGGCCTGAAAGGAGGCGGAGGCTGGACGGCAGGCGGGTAGGGTGCGAGCGTGCAGCGGAGCCCAGGGCACGGGCTGGCTTCTGTCACGCTTGAAGGTCCCACATCCGAAGCTCAGCCAGGCTGAACCAAGCCAAGGAACTTATCATAACGCGTGCCATTTCTTCTCCCATGTCACAAGGCACGCGCCGTCAGGCGACGCTGGTCTCCGCAGCCTATTGGCATGCTCTGCTGGGTATCTGCACAATGACTGCTCCCATATGTTGACGTTAAAAATCAGGCCTTATTTATGGGTATAAACAGAATTTTCTCTTCCAGGTCCATTTCCACAGCAGAACGCTCAGGGCAAACCTTCTGTTCTCTGTTGTTTCCAGTTGCCTGTCCTTGAGCCACGCTCTCTGTGGACCTTCTGAGGTTTCCCAAAGTCCTGAAGTTTCCCCGCCTTTGGTGCCAGCTATAAGAAGAGATCACCGTGGAGTGAAGACCTCCAAGCATCTCAGCAACTCATGGGCAATGCCTAAGAATAACTGAACCTTTATGGGATCTTGCTCTCTTGCAAGAAGCATGTAGTGACATTCAATTGTATTTTGCTCACAATTTCCAAAATTAAGACTATCATCCTTTTATTATTCCATGAGAAACAATATTTAGTTATATAGGGATATTGCATTTCTCAAACCTAAAGTAAAACACAACATTTGAATCTTCAAAGGCAGTCTTGGCTGGGCGCGGTGGCTCATGCCTATAATCCCAGCACTCTGAGAGGCTGAAGTGGGAGGATTGCTTGAGCCCAGGAGGTCAAGACCAGCATGGGCAACATAACGAGAACTCATCTCTACAAAAAAAAAAAAAAAATTAGCCGGGCATGGTGGCATGTGCCTATAGTCCCAGCTACTCAGGAGACTGAGACAGAAAAATCACCTGAACTCAGGAAGTCAAGGCTGTGGTAAGCTGTGGTCATGCCATTGCATTCCAGCCTGGGCGACAGAATGAGACTCTGACTGAAGACAAACAAACAAACAAAAACCAAAACCAAAACAATAGCAGCCAAACAAAGCCAGTCTTATTATTCAGCACTTGGATTTATATTGTCTATAACCATTCAGTGGAACAGGGATCACCTGAAATATTGTTCTTAAGAAGTAAAGTCATAAAACGCTTTTAGAGCATTTGCAGAAAGGAAGAGCATTTGTAATCACCAAGAAAAAGAAAGAACTGTCTTTTCTCTCCCCTTTTTTTTTTGAGTTGGAGTTTCACTACGTTGCCCAGCCTGGAGTGCGTTGGCATGCTCACGGCCACACCAGCGTCGACCTGCTGGGCTCCGGCAATCCTTCTGCCTCAGCCTCCCAAGTAGCCAGAACTATAGGTGTGCACTACCACATCTGGCTGATTTTTTTGATTTATTGTAAAGATGAGGTCTTGCCAAGTTGCCCAGGCTGTTCTCAAACCCGTAGGCTCAGGCAATCCCCTTACTTTGGCCTCCCAAAGTGCTGGGATTACAGGCTTGAGCCACCGCGCCCGGCCTTCTCTTCCTTTTAATAGTCAAGTATAAACTGCTTGGTGTCAGAAACCATCGCTGGTACTTTTGCTGTAGCTGAAAAGCCTGTCCTGAAAATAAGCAGTTTCTCACTTTTGAGTGCAGAGTCAGAGCCAGCACATGGAAGTGTCCTCTTCAGAGCACATGGATCTGACCTCAGTGTTTGATGGGAGGCGTCTGGTGGGGAGCACTTCTCCACGAGCTGTAAGGCTGGCTTGAGTCTGGAGTGATGCTTATGATCCGGGTAGGAATCATTTGAGCCATGTCAGCAAAGCCAGGGCGAAGCGCCAGGTGGCCCCTGGGGAGGATGCCAGCGCCCCTTTGCTCGCCCCAATGGCTTCCAAGGTGTCTCCGCACAGACTTCCCGCGTGGCCGGCTGCACCCACTCCCAGGGCGTGTGGAGCCTGCACGTGGCCATCCCGAGGGTGCTTTCTCGTCAGAGTCAGGACTGAGTCACAACTGTTAATTTTGCCAGAGACTATTTTCCTTAGTTAGTTTCAAAGCTTGATTATTACATTCTGTTTCAACAAGTACATTAAAGTAGGATCCAGTCATTATACTTGGTGGCCCTAAGTAACTTTCAAATGATTACAAATACCCAAAACATGCCTTATTGTGGTGCTTTTGCATGCAGCAAACTAGCCAAGTTGTGGGGATTATCAGCGCTAAAAAGCAGCCCAAGAGCCAGCCATTGGAGGCAGATTCTCACCCTTCGAAGCTGCGCTGCGGTCACTTCTGGGGACAGGCGTCCTGGGCCCAGGCTGGTGGCTGGCATCCGACGGCTGCTGTCCCCGTGCAGCCTCCCTCCCCACTGTGGGGCCCCGAGCACCACAGACACTGCTCCCCACTCGTCTTCCCACGATGACTGGCTCTGCACAGCCTTATGCTGAGCCTGATGTCAAGGCAGACATGGCTACATATAAACTGCCACAGGATTCACCCTAATGGCTGCTGAAGTCCACGTTCAAGGAACAAGCCAGTGAGCAGTGTGTGGGAACCAGCGCCACCCTGGTGGCCTGCGGACCCAGGGCTGGTAGTCTCAACTTGGAGG